AGGTGAAGCGCTCTTTGGACTCACTGAAACTGCTGTCTCGAAGATGACCGAATCGGTTAGTTGTTCTCTATTGGTTCAGTCGTCGTTTGCAAGCGAATTTTTAGAGTATTGTTAGAAGATTGCGATAGAAAGCAAGTATGATAATGTGATGGTATTGCAGTTGCCGGGTGTTGATCAACTTCTCACGTATACATTCAAACACGGTGGAAGTCCTCTGATGGATTTGCCGTTGGCGGTGAATCCGAGTGGATGTGCGCGTTGCGAGCCACGTTTTCGAACACTCATCAAGCATCGACACCACAGGACACCACCAGCGGCCGCCGTGCCAATCCAACCGCGAACAACTTCGAGTACGGATGTCGTTTCGAGGGATTCAAGAAGTATTTATGCTTGTTTGATTTTTGCATTTGGAGCTTCTTTTTGAGTTTTATTACCTTTTATTCAAATCACCGGGAATGGCTAAATTCGGAATTGATGAAATGTTTTTGAAAATTTGGTCATCGCGAGAGATAACAAATGTGAAATTTTCCAAAAATGGAACGGAATTTACAGCTCGTGGTGGTTCAAACTGGGCGAACAACGGTGTTGATGCCAGTACTCGTGCGATGTTGTTAGCAAGTGGTCTTTCACCCGATATAGCTTGGGGTCCGTACAGCCGTTGGGAACCAGGTCAGCTGAGTGGTAGTCACTATACGCAGTATCAAAAGATGAAGAGAGAATGGAAAAACAATGTGTATTTGGCCAGATCGAGGATACAAGGCCTTGGGCTGTATGCGAAACGCGATATTGAAATGAACGCAATGATTATTGAGTACAAAGGCGAAGTGATACGTAGTGAGGTGGGCCTCTTAAAATTTTTCTTCTGGAATGCATATTTTGTTTTCATTATGAGATCATCATTTCGTCGTATTTCGTCGCATTTTAATGGCGTGAAACTTATATGCTGAATGAATAAAATTGTTGTGTTGAGCAGCTGAAAAGATGTGTGGTATACACCTCGTAAAATTATTATGATTCTAGTTGAAATATATTTAGCATGAAATTAAGCAGGTACATATCGAGCGATTTGGTTTTTAATTCATTGGTTTAATGAGATTGATGGAAGTGTTTTTAAATTGAAGGTTGGCGAAATGCGCGAGAAACGATATGAGGCTCAGAATCGTGGTGTGTACATGTTCCGAATTGATGAGGAGCGTTTGGTGGACGCGACAATGGCTGGTGGTCCAGCTCGTTACATCAACCATTCGTGTGATCCGAATTGTAGCACACGAATCGTCACATCAGGACCAAACGGAGACGACAAGAAAATTATAATTATTGCAAATCGACCGATCAGTGCCGGTGAAGAGGTAAGCAAGTTATTCATTTTTGCTCTTCATTCACTTAAAGTGGTCGATGAAAGATTATTAGAAATGTAGAAGAATAATAATTTTGGAAAATGTTCCAGTGATAAATTCTGAATTCAGCGAGCAATTTTTGTGGAATTTTCAGTTGACCTACGATTATCAGTTCGATATCGAGGATACTGCTGATAAGATCGCGTGTCTTTGTGGAGCGCCGAATTGTCAAAAGTGGATGAATTGAAACATTTCAACAATTAATCAGTCGATAAAGGATCAACTTTTTTTAATTATTGTTCGTTCGCGTTAGTTTCGTTATTGAATTGTCATTTGGATGCATGTACAATATTCAATATGTTCAACATTTTGCCTACTTTTTACAGTGTTGTTGTTTGTTTTGTGCTGAATTCAGTGGTCTTTTGATTGTTTTGAATGTATTTTAATTTTTAATATGTGAACAGTTAGTGTATATTCATTCATTCGTAACTAGACAAACGTTAATTTATCTTCGAAAATGATTGTTATTGCAGTTTTGAGAAAGAAAACTAACTCAGTTTAAGGCTGAAGTATTTGAAAATGAGAATATATATCCTTAGAAGCGAATAGAATATACCAAGAAATCATAACATGCGCCATATATGTTTTTTTGTTTTTTATTGATATATTTGTTAATGAATTTTGTTTTTTGTTTGCAAAACCCTTCCAGATTCGTATGATTTGCAGTCAATTGTGTGCACTTTTTATCTTGTTCGTTTCTCGCTGTCTTTTTCGTTTTAATTTGTATTATTAATTCATTCAATTCACTGACTCTTCAGTCTTACTAACAACTTTTTATATTGTCTACTAACATGAGTTTGATTTGGATCACAACGATTGTGTTTATATATATTTATATGCATATTGATGAACCTCCAGTGATAAGCGAGCGAGCCGTTTTGTTTTTGGAGTGATGCGCTGTCGAAATGGATGGATGTGAGCANTACGCTGCGCATTTTCATTCATAATCCGATAATTATGCACTGTGTTCCTTTTTGTGTCTGCGGATTTTGCTGTCAACTGACTTTTGTACCGTTGATAGTTTCATTTTGCCGTAATTTTTTGATGTTTTATCGTCATTTTCGGTTTGTTTTTTTCGTACTCATTGTTTTATCTTTTTCAAAATCTTGTCGTTCATACTGATCCATTTCATCGTCATTGTATGAAAAATAACGATCATATTCTTACTGTATTCCTGTCTAATTTATTTACTTTGATTGTTAGAATTATGAAAGTTCTGATTGAGTATGAATTACTCTGATTTTTTCATCTGAAAATTTTAAAGTATCAAAATCAAATTTTATTCATGATCGACGCAAATGATTGAGAATTTAGAGAATTTTCCTAAATATGGAACGTTGAAAGTGTCATACATTGTTGATTGTATTTCTTTTTCTATTTTCATTGTTTTTCTGATTTTAGTTTTAGTTCCGTCTTCTTGCTGCTTTTCTTGATCAGCTGAGAAGAAGTTCCACTGAAAAAATGAAAGAAATTGTGATCAGGATTCATGAATGATTAAGTGTTGAAATTCGTCAACTTTTATGATGGATTTCATGTGATGTTTTATCGTTTTTTGCTTCTGTTTGTGAAAAGTATCCGTTTTTTCCGTTTGACTTTGATGAAAACGAATAGGTGAATTCATAGGATCTCAGCGAGGATTCAGCACGATACAGTGAGGATTTCAGCAAGGAATCAATTGATCATGCAGTTCGGTTGATAGATTACTAAATGTTTTCATGAGAATATGAAAATATGAATTGAGAGTTTGTGTTATTGCCATTATGATACGATGAATGTTATTGCTATTTTGATATTCAATTTACCACTTCCATGATGCTTTGATAATAATGTTTTGTACAGTTGTTTCAATTGATGATATCAGGTAGTATTTATTGGTTTCGTTGTTGTTCTTTGTTTGTTTGATAATCCACTGAATTGTTGTTGTTGTTTTGAGTGTCGATTAGTTTTTGACTTCATCGTTTTGTCGGTAATCAGTCACATTCGCTGCTGATTTCATTTGAATGTTTCGTTTTCTGGTGCACATTTTGATGAGTGTTTCTGCAGTCGAATTCAATTGATCAGTTCTCATCATGCATTCTTTTGCTATGTTTTTTTATTTATATAAATTGATGTGTTTGTGTTGTTCACGTTTCATGATGATTTATTTGATTTGATTTGAAACATTTTCATATTTCTGTTTTCATTTTGTTCCATAACTTATAATACGTAATTATTGCAGTACATCTCAAGCAGATGTGTTTGTGTGTGTATTATTTACATGTAGATTGTTCACAACTAATAAAATTTACTTCATAATTATCTGACTCTGACCAATATTCACTGGAAGAGTATCATTGCAAAGAAATGAATTGCTTCGACAAATGCACACGAATTCAGCAAGACTCGTGATATTTTCAAGAATCGCTCCTATCTGCACGCAGCATATCATATCTAAATTTGGGGTTTGTGTTCCGGAATTGCTTAAAAGAGTTCAGAACATTGTTGTAGTCTGGCGAAACATTCCGGTTTGATGATTTTTTTGCGTCCAAACAGAAGTTGCGATAAAGATGGAGGACGTACTTGAGAGCTGATTAAAAATTTGTTTAAGCGTTGAACTAGTTAGTACATGCGCACAATGAGATAAAATAGGATCATCAATTATTGTTCATCGATACAGTGCAATTGAATTCAACGAGCGATTCAAGATTATTCGGAAACATTCCGCAAATCCGAATCTTTTAATTGAACGAAAGACCAAAAATTCTCAAGATCATATTTCATCCGGTAAATATCATTCGATCGTCAACCGGTTACTATCACTACTGTAGGGCGCAGCATTTTTAGCGTGGAATTGGATAGTCGATTTCAAATAATTCTTCTGAAACGAATTAATTTGAGGGGCGAAAGAGACTCATTAACCCGGTAATGGAACAAGAATCATTCATTGAGCTGGAGGAATTTGATGAGAATGAAATTAATATGGATGAAACACCGCGCTCAGCGATACATTATCTGCAACAGGTTGACTAATTGAATCCTCTAAATTCAAGTCCATTATATTTGCTTTAATGTACGGTTGAATAAATACGATTCTATAGCTTGAAGTCGTCATATTCCATAATATAGCGAAGCGAGTGTTCGAGCCGTTTGACACATTCAATAATAAAATTGAACTATGAATGGAAACAGCAAATTTCTTCAAGATTTTCAACCATTGAAGACTGAATGAATACTTTTCGAGAAAACAATAATTCTCGATTCTGATCACTTATTGATCAGATTTCGTATATCCTCTCGTCTAGATGTGTTGAGAGTGAAGAATACATTAAAAGTTTCGAAACAAGCTCGCTAAAAATCACGTTTAATTTGATTTGAAATAGCTGAGAGTAAACAAAACCTGTCATTGTGTCACATAAAAACTTATTACAATTCAATATCTTCAAAGCGATTGGACAACATTTAACTTACACATTTTATATTTACATTGACATTAGTAAACGAATGAAGAGGTAGCCTCGGATTATTCCTTTATGAACTGACTACTTTATCATTATTTGATAAAGATCAATATGAAGTGATAATATTACTACTGTTTTCTGTTAGGTTGCCGTCTCGCGTAAGCGTTGTCCACAGGTAGTGGCCGCTTCAATCGATCCTCAGATTCTGCTCTCTAATAAAGCGTCCTCGTCGAGTACCTTCCAGAAAGAAGACGTCTCATCTGTGAATGCTCCACCCCAGAAATGGGCTTATGCTAAGGTTTCTCCCAATTGTTTATTCGTCTTTTGAAGGTGTTCATCAAATATTAGCTTTTTGTAGTGGCTGCTGTTCATCGAACGTGAAAAATCGCAATTATCTCTGAGTGTATTCAAT